ATCACATTCTTTCACTTGGCGTGTTCTCTCCTCAGCACAAACATTCCACAAGCGTAGGATCGTCGAGGGGCTAATGATCCAACAATTCCGCCCCAGTTTGAACAAACAAGTTATTTCTTATGTCTCCAACAGTTTTCCCATCGGGAATTACGCAAGATTCTTGTGCCTCCATGTAGTCACTAATTTTACACTTTATTGCTTAGCTCACAATCGAGATCAGTTTTATGATTCGAATGTATGAGCCTTTGGAATCCGCAACAACGCTAACTGAAAACTTCAACAACCAACATGTCCGACCCAAAAAACAAAACGTTCCACATGTTTTCTACTCGCTCGCTATGCCTTATGGGAGGCACAGGCCTCCCAACACTAAAAACAAGAAATTCCCCTTTTTTTTTTTGGAAATGTTCAACAAAAAGGTAACAACACTCCAAAATTTTCCTATCGGGAATTACATAAGATATATATGTATGTGCAGACAGATATTATTTTCAACCCTGATGATCTAAACAGCCGAGAACGTTTGGTTCAAACATTTTATTTTTTTCCTAATCATTTAACCTTGTATGGAATAGACACCTTCCTGATTTATTAACTTTTATTTGAAAATACGTTTTTCTAGACAAGTCGGACGCTTTTGAGATTTTTAATTTTTTTTTCTTTTGTAAACGTTAGTTAAAATGTCTAACTTCAGTCTAGTTTAAAAAAAAAAACACTTTTTAGACCTCTGAAGGTAGGAGGTAACCGTTAAGCAACGCTCTGGAAAACACGACTCATAAACATGAACAACCCTTAGGTGTAATTAGGTCAAATAAATGGCCTTATGTTTTATTGCATGGTTATCAAAGTGTTGATTATTAAAATGCGAATTTAAAGAGTTCATAAAATGCAACTTCTAACTTTTCGTAAAATGCGATGGATTTGATATTCTGGATTAATCTCAACGTGGATAAGCCCTTAAACATCAAGCATTCGTAGTTTGCCCTCAAGAAACAATATGTGATCATTCTAGTGAATAAACTTCGCCCAATTCAAAACATTCCTCCTCTCTTGTATTGAGGTATCCTTTTGGAGAGCTCACTTTAGGAATACCTCCCTCGTAGTTCCTTATTTTACATAAATATCTATCTATCCTGCCTGATATGGGCATATCACTTTCCAGCCCGAAAGCGGGAAGATCTGATCCAGTTCAGATTGCAGCTTCAAATAAAATTGACGTGAAACTCCACGTCGTGCCGCAGTTCAACCTTGAAGTACACTACTGCAGGGAGCCTTGGAATCGATACATGTCAACGATGTTGCATCGATTCTAACCCATCCACTTATCTTAACAAAAATTAATTTTAATTTCCCATTTTCCTTTTCCCATCTTGTTTCTGCTGAATATTTGCGTTTTTCTCTTCCGAGTCCTTTCTGACTTCCCTGCCGGGGCTTGTCAGTCCACTTTGCTTATCGTGGCAAATGTGAAGGCACTAACAAACACATCAATTAGGACATAAATATTTGCTACAAATTTTTAACTGGTAGGGTGTACAAATAAGATTGTTGTTAGTTTTAAAGGTGTAGCTAAGGAGTTCAAGTTGTGCCAACCTCCAAAACTCGAGAGCTCAACAATTAATTTCTGGCATTCCCATCTCTACAAACATCTTCAAATTTAATTGATTTCCAAACATCAAAGGTTTCCGTTTTCTGAAGCAAAGGATGTCATTGGCTATACAAGTAAAATTAAAAAACACCTTTCTCATAAATT